TGTGTGTGCATGTGGGTGTGTGTGCGTGTCTGGGCTTCTGTGTGCTGGTGCATCCACACGTGTGTGCATGTGGGTGTGTGCATGTGTGGGCTTCTGTGTGGTGGTGCATCCACAGGCCTGTGCATGTGAGAGTGCGTGTGTGCGTGTGTGCGTGTGTGCGTGTGTGCGTGTGTGCGTGTGTGCGTGTGTGCGTGTGTGCCTGTGTGCCTGTGTGCCTGTGTGCCTGTGTGCCTGTGTGCCTGTGTGCCTGTGTGCCTGTGTGCCTGTGAGAGTGCGTGTGTTGCTGTGTGTGAGAGTGTGTGTGCCTGTGAGTGTGTGTGTGCGTGAGAGTGCGTGTGTCTCAGCTTCCTGCTGTGCTCATCCTCAGTGTGCTGGGCTGGCCAGGCCCTTCGCAGCCGCGCTGAGAGCAGCGGAAATCTGAAGCTGCTGAGCTCTCGGGTGCCGAAACCGCACCGAGAGGAGCTGAGGAGCAATCTGTGCTGCGGCCCGCCAGCGCCGCTCTCTCTGCCGGCTGCGGGCGCAGGCTGGCGCCTGGATTCGCCGACTCTCCCTGCCCAGCCGCCACACAAAGAGCCGCTCAATGTTGTCGCTGCTCGAAGGCGCTTCCTGCGGCTGGCAGAGCTCACGCCTTCAGGACGATCGAAGGGCAACACGTGCGGTCCTTTGACCTGTCTCCTCTCTCTCTTTGATCCGCAGGGGCCTGAATAAGCAGGGCTACAAATGCCGACGTAAGTGTGTTTTCCAGTATTGACCCGTCTGCCCAGTGGTCATCATCCGCTAGTCCACTAGCCCCTGATCTCAATAATCTTCAGTCCTGCACTGCAGTGGTGCTTTAGGTCAGGGGTCTTGCATCGGGCTGCAAGAACAAGGCTGTATTTACTGGATTCATGCAGAGTCTGGACTTCGGCTGCGATCGTTAGAGATCTTGGGCTTCCCTGAATTTACTGGAGATCTTAGAATCCGCAAAGCTGTTGACCTCTGACCCTCCCCCAAAAACATGCACTCCCCACACCCTTCAGATGGGCTCAAGGGAGTCGTTTTGGTCTCACCTGGAAACACCTGTGAGCAGGCATGTGTGGTCACAGCACAAGCAAGCTGTGGTGCAGTCAGGAGCTGGAGGCATTGGGACGAGAGTGCACAATTGCCCCTGGTGCAGTTCATGTGCTGTTTACGTGCAGTGGTGGTGGAAGGATTCGTGCCCCCTGGTCTCACCCGAGCTCCTGGAGAGATCTCCCTGTAGTCTCCAATATTGTTCCCTCACATCTGCACATGACTTCACATGGGTGAAGTCAGGGTTTGCAAGGAAACGCTGCCAGAACCTGGAAGGTTGCTCTTGTGCTCTTGAGAATGAACCTCGGTTTACAGAGAGCTGGCCACACCTGAGAACATGAGAAAGGCTACAGACAAGAGGGGCCATCTGGCCTGTTCAGTAGTCTAGGATCTCACCAGCTGTGACTTGAAAGAAACCAAGGTATCGGCTTTAACGCCAAGCCGAGCTTCTGAGAGACGAACCCGTCCCGTCCGAAGAACAAGCCCGTTAGATGACCTCATTCTTAAAGGCTTTCAAGCGTTCTCCCCGTCGGCTGTGTCTCACGTGTTGCTCTGTTTGTGTGTGTCTGTGATGAAGAATGCAACGCTGCTATTCACAAGAAGTGCATCGACAAGATCATCGGGAGGTGCACGGGTACCGCCACCAACAGCAGGGACACCGTGGTAAGCGCCGCCCTCCGCCGCTCGCTAGCGCCGCCCTGTCTGCAGCAGAGACGGGGCGCCGAAACCGGTTCTGGGAGGAGTGGGGGGCTGATGGGTCGTCTCCCCTGTCCGCAGTTCCAGAAGGAGCGCTTCAAGATCGACATGCCCCACCGCTTCAAGAACTACAACTACATGAGCCCCACCTTCTGCGACCACTGCGGCAGCCTGCTGTGGGGGCTCGTCAAGCAGGGGCTGAAGTGTGAAGGTAGGGCATGAGTCTGGGGAGGTGTGTGTGTGTGTAGGGGGGGGGTTGTCGTGTGGCATTGCTGGTGTGTCACGATTTCCCACACCCACAGTGCTCTTGTCTAATTGGGCCTCTAATTGGATGAATAATTAGCTCATGTAAGATCTGTTTTTAAACGCTGAGAGTTCCTGTTGCCTGTAAAGAGTCTTTGGTGTCTGGAAACGCCCTGCTGTAAAAGAGTTTTATTTCACCACTGAGAGGCCCAGACAGGAGGGAGACTGGCAGGCTTCTGGGCTGTGGCGGAGCAGGGAGTGGTCTCGGGCCTTCTAAACCTTCCCTTCTCCAGATCTCCCCGTGAGCTTCGTGCGTTCCTGGGCTGGAACACGCCCTGAGCTCAGTTGTCACGCTGGCTCGCGCTGCTGTTTCTGCAGCATTTGAAAACCTTCCACCAGCCCTGTGAAAGCAGGCCTGTAGTTCTGAGAGGCTGCCGATTTCCAGTGGTGTAACACCAGCGGTAATTAAGTCTCGGCTCCGAGGAGACGCTTTTAAACTTCAGTGAGAGTGAAATGACTCGACCCACAATTAATTTAAGGCCAAAAATAATACATTTATAGACTTCAGCTTTGATTAAAAATGCAAAGCATGTACTGTATGTGGATTTTTTTGTAGATTTTGGAAGGGGTCTACTAAACTTCGCTGAAGCAGCTTCTGAGTGTCTGATTTTACCATCCCTACCTTCACTTTGGCAAGGGCTTGGCGTTGTTTCATTTCGTACAAGAGCTCCCAGCAGCTCTCGGTACCAAGAGGCAGGCAGTGTCTGCGACTGGGCTGCTGGGGGAGAAGAGTTCCCAGGAGCTCCCAGGAGCTCCTCCTTGCCCAGAGCTTGCATCTCTGGGCAAGGAGGAGCAGTGACTGTCCCGGTCTGTGGCAGGGGGGGGGTCTCATACTGTAGCCCCAGGTGGACCCCCTGAGTGGAGGTCTCATACTGTAGCCCCGGCTCGCAGCCTTCACAGTTTGTCTTTCCCTTTTCAAAGGGCAGTAGACCCCCAGAGGGGGTGCTACACAGCTCTGCCCCTGCCCCCCGGTGTCTGTGACCTCACTCGTGCCGGCGTGCTTCACTACCCAGCATGCCCTGGGCTCTCTCCTCACAGATTGCCAGATGAACGTGCACCACAAGTGCCAGACCAAGGTGGCCAACCTCTGCGGGATCAACCAGAAGCTGCTGGCCGAGGCTCTGACCCAAGTCAGCCAGGTGAGCAGACGGACGGGCTGCAGGCGCAGGTGTGGGGGGGCCCGGGGGGGCCAGGCGACAGGGAGGCGTGGGAGCCCTGTGCTTCACGCCCTCACTTGCTTCGGCCCAGTTTATTTGTCCGGCGCACCGGTGCGACGACATGCTCATGGACAGAAGGTGACTCTCCAGCCAATGTCCGCAAGCACTCGTCGACCGTTAATAGTTGCTGAAAAAGCAGACTGGATGCAAAAGCCCCGCAACTCAACACAAAACAGACAAAAGGACGTGCTTCATGTTGAATAGTGCATTATCCCTCAAGCTTCTTCAAATAGATAACTCAGGTGCTCATGTAAAGGCCTGAATTCGTAGGGAGTTAGCAGAGGAATATCTGGGTAAACAGCCTCTGAAGGCAGTGGTGGTTTTCACTGTTTCCCATCCTTATCCCCAGCTCAGGCACTGTCATCACACCGCGCCGTATGAAAACCACACTCTCTTCCAGTCCCCCGGGACACTCTGACGCAGTAGCCCGCACGCGTTGTTCTGAAACCTTTTTCTTTTCTCCTCCCGTGTCGTCCTGTGAGTGTAGAAGCACACTGTGGTGACGGTAAGCATGTGTCCGAGCTCTCCGACGGCCCGGCCCGGCCCGGCCCGGCCCGGCTCCTGGCAGACCTCCTTCAGTCAGCAGCAGCAGCTCCGCCCCGCAGCGGGGTGCTCCAGTCAGTGCAGTCAGGCCACTTCTAGTCCCATCGAGCTCCATTGCAAGTTGCTGTTGATGCCTGAAGGAGGCGAAGGCCAGGACTGCTGAGCTCCGGTCCGTCCAGCACGCTTGATCTCGGGGTTTGCGATGACCACCTCCTTAATTCAGGACCCGGTGAATTGCGGGATCCGTATGAGAGTTAAGGAGCTGGTCACATCGAAGCACCACGCCCCGGGTTCGAGCAGCCCTGGGGGAGCCCCGCGGGATCAGGCTTCGCTCTGCCGCCCTGTCTGCGCCCCCGCCTCCGCTAACGGCAGCGCGGCTCAGGCCACCTCCGCGCACCTCGGCGTTTCCCAGCTTGCTGTCCGCAGCCCTGGCCCTTGGGAAGCAGGAGCTTGCAGCTGTGGTCTGACTTCTGCAGCGCCTCCCTCGCAGGGGCCTGCCGTTGTGAACTGCAGTAGGAGCTCCGGGGGCGCCGCGGGGAGACCCCTGGGACGGTTCCCGGACCCGCCTCGCTCCCCGCTTGTTTCGCCTCCGGCAGCGAAAGTCACCCCGGGCCCAGCGCCGGCGGGGCTGTCGGGGCGCGGTCCAGCCGGAGCTCCGCGTCCCCCTTGACTTCCGCGGCTGGCCCTCTAAGCCTGCTTTTCCTGGGACCTGTGAGGGCGGCTGTCCTGTCGGCCGGGACTCCGCGCCCCTCTCTCGGACCGGAAGCTCGCACTCGCTGTCCTGCTTTCAGACCGTTTTGATTCTTTCCTTCGTGTTTTTAATCACGAGCTCTGTTTTTGCAGAAACCCACCAGGAGGTCCGAGTCAAACCTGTCGGACATCGGCATCTACCAGGACTTCAAGACCTCGGGCCTGGACGCTACCGGTGAGCTGCAAGCCCGGGCGCGCTGGGGGGGCGTTGGGGACAGAGCTCGGGCGCGCTGGGGGGGGGGCGTTGGGGACCGAGCTCGGGCGCGCTGGGGGGGGCGTTGGGGACCGAGCTCGGGCGCGCTGGGGGGGGCGTTGGGGACCGAGCTCGGGCGCGCTGGGGGGGGGCGTTGGGGACCGAGCTCGGCCGCGCTGGGGGGGGGCGTTGGGGACCGAGCTCGGCCACGCTGGGGGGGGGCGTTGGGGACCGAGCTCGGGCGCGCTGGGGGGGGCGTTGGGGACCGAGCTCGGGCGCGCTGGGGGGGGGCGTTGGGGACCGAGCTCGGCCACGCTGGGGGGGGGCGTTGGGGACCGAGCTCGGCCACGCTGGGGGGGGGGCGTTGGGGACCGAGCTCAGCACACTGGGCCTGGATGATATCGGGAGGCTCAAAGCTTCTTCGTTTTCCTTGGCACAGAGCTTCAAGAGCCAAGTTAATTTTAGCACAGGAACCTCATTGTGGTCTGCAGTCATTTTGTTTGGCACAAAGCTTTATGCCCAAAGCATTCTTCCCAATTTGTCCTAAAAAATGGTTTGGAGGTCGCGTGAAACCTGACTGTTCCTGCCTGCTCACCCTCCAGTAAACGCCTCCTTGTTTTCCCTGTGTTGTGGGAACTGGGCAGCAGACAGACACATGGACATTTAAGGGCATAAATCCAGTGAAGAGGCCGTGGAACAGAAGAAAGCGTCTCTTCTGCACGGCAGCTTCCTCTTCCAGAGATTCAGCTGGTGCTCCCTGGAGGGTGGGGGGGGCTGGGAAGAGCAGGACCGCAGTGCTCTGTGGGCCTGTAGGAGGCGCTGTCACAGTGTGTGTGTGCGTTGTTCCTTTGCAGCAGATGGCTCGCCGTACGACAAGCTGTGGGAGGGCAGCAGCCTGCCCCGCGCGCCCTCGCGGATCACACACCTCTCCAAGGTCACCAGCGACCACTTCGTCTTCCACAAGGTGCTGGGCAAAGGCAGCTTCGGCAAGGTGAGCGCGCCCCCGGCCCTGTGATGGACACTGGTGTCCGCTCTGTCCACGCTCTGCCCGTCAGGACTCCCAGGGCCTGTCTCTCCGTGCTTTTCCTCGGGGGGCTCCTGGTCGTGCGTTTGTGCCGTCAGTCTCACGAGGCTGGCGAGAGGCTGAAGACTTGGGCCTGTGGAGGAGAGCAGTGGCTCTGCTGCAGTTTCCCCGCTGGGGGAGGGCTCTGCGCCGCCTTCCATCCGGTTCTGTACAGCTCCTGACCCGCCCCCTGCCCTGTCTCTCAGGTGCTGCTGGCCGAGCTGCGCGGGAAGGGCGAGTACTTCGCGATCAAGGCGCTGAAGAAGGATGTGGTGCTGATGGACGATGACGTGGAGTGCACCATGGTGGAGAAGAGAGTGCTGGCGCTGGCCTGGGACAACCCCTTCCTCACACACCTGTACTGCACCTTCCAGACCAAGGTACGCACTGGCCTCAGGCCAGCTAGCGGTAAGCCATGGCCCTGGGATCAGTGAGCTACTGGATCCTCTCGTCAGCCTGCTCTCCCGACACCAAGGTTCATTCTTCAGAGCCTCCTGCTGTGTGTCCCCTTCCTTGTGTTCTTATCTCAGATCGTCGCCGGCTGTGCGCGTGTGTGAGTCCGTGTGCATACATGCGTGCGTGCGAGTGTGTGCGTACATACATGTGCGTGTGCATGTGTGCGCCTCTCCGTGTGCATACATACGTGTGTGTGCGTACATACGTGTGTCTGTGTGCCTCTCCATGTGCATACATGTGTGTGTGCGCGCGTGCATGTGTGCGCCTCTCCATGTGTGCGCGAGTGTGTGCGCACATACATGCGCGTGTGTGCGCCTCTCCGTGTGTGCGCGAGTGTGTGTGTACATACATGTGCGTGTGTGCGTGGTTCTAACTGTGCGGTCTCCCTGTCCTCCAACAGGAGCACCTGTTCTTTGTGATGGAGTACCTGAACGGGGGCGACCTCATGTTCCACATACAGGACAAGGGGCGCTTCGACCTCTACAGAGCGACGTGAGTGTGCAGCGAGGGCCCGGTTCTCTCTGTCAGACCTCTGGTACAGATGTCCGCAGTTAAAACAAAAATATTTCCTAATTATCCGTTGTGGGAAAGAGGATTAGGAAGGAATGTCCTTCTCGGAAGAACCTGCTGAGCTGGGACCTGACTCGGGAAGTCATTATCCCAGGAGGCTTTGCTCGTGTCAGTTCCGGGATTTAGCAGCATTCCGGATGGACGCCGGGGGGCATTTCACGGAGATGTGTAAGCAGCCCGGTCCCTTCCCCAGGCTAGCGGGGGGCGTGTGAGCTGACGTGACTCGGCCCCCTGGTCCTGACGGCCCGATGCCGGGCTGGCCAGGAGCTCCGCTGCGTGCTGGAGAGACAGTGGCATCAAGGGGTGGCCTGCGCTGCGGCACTGAAGCCAGACAGCCGCTCTGTCTCTCCCCCTGCTGTCTTCCTTATGGCCTCTTCACTGCGGTTTGTCGAACCCCAGTCCGGCGAGGGGTTGCGTGCACACAGAGCTCGGAGCTCCGCAGCGCGTCTGTAGGGGGCAGTGTATCTACTGGGTGGGGGGGAGGTAAAGGTCGCAGGTCGGACAGCGCAGGCCTTTTCCAACACTCATCCAGCAGCAGGACTGGGCTGTGGCGCGCTGGCCGGCGAACTGCAGGAGACTGGAGGAGGAGCTGTGCAGTCAGTTCCTTTAAAAGAGCGATAGTCTGGCTGCCGCAGGAGAGACAGTCCCCTGTCAGCCGTCGATTGATCGATTACAGCCCCGTCCCTCTCGGAGGAGCTGCTGGCAGAGAGCTGGGAGTCTGGAGCGTGGCAGTGCCCTGGGGCAGCTGCTGCCGGGCCCGGACCCCCGCGCTCCCACAGCGGAGAGCTCTCCATCCCCTGCCTTTCAGTCAGAGCCGCTCTGCCGGCCGGACGCCCAGGCTGGGGTAACGCCGGGGGAGGCTCTGACCCAGATAGCGATAAAAATAGCTCCCGTCGCCACACTGGGCTGGGGTGGGGCCTCCCGGAGGCAGAAACACAGCTGCCGGTTCCGACGCCGTCATCGCGGCTGTTTCCTCGTCTCGCCCCTGTGTGCGCCTGGAGATCTCCACACAGAGCGGCTCGCACCCGCGTCCCGCGGCGGCCTGTCTGCTGCCACCCGCTGCACCAGCTGGGCTGGGGGGTCCCGTGTGAAACCGGCAGTGGTGAAGCCAGCACACGTCGTAAAAGGGGGTAAAGAACATCTTTTGGCTGCTGGAGCACCCCGGCGTTGGGCGGCTTTGTGCGCCCCTGGCCTGTCAGCCTGGCCTGGGCTCACGGCACCGGCGCCGGGGGGGTCGGTGTTGCGCGGCAGCGAGGCTGGAAGCCGCGGGCCCGGCGGGTGGCTAACGATGGCATCGCGGGGGGCTGGTTTCAAGCGCTGCGCTGTTGGAAACGTCCTCTTCAATTAGTCGGAGCGCGGCGCGGCGCGCGGCAGAGGGGGCCTGACGGTCCTTATTTTTCCTTTCCTCCCAGGTTCTACTCCGCCGAGATCATCTGCGGCCTGCAGTTCCTGCACTCCAAAGGGATCATCTACAGGTGAGGCTGCCCCGAGCGGAGCTTCCCAGCCCTGCTCCTGGAGGCACACGGGGTCTTCGGAGTCGCTCCAGTCTAGTTCTTAATCGCGGGAGGATGGGATTTCCAGCTCCAGTCACTGCAGTGGTTCCTGCATCCGTCTTCATGCTGCTCCTTAGGGAGTCTTTCAAATGGGTGGCAGACTGGGAATGTGGTTTGTTCTTAGTGTTTGTCCCAGTAAAGGACCTTGACAGCTCTGTCTGCAGGCGGGCGCGGTACTTTTATTCTGCTTCAGCAGTCACGTGTCGTGCCCTGATCTAGCCCTTCTCCTTACTGGAGCAACCAGTCACAGAGCTGGAGCTGGGGTGTTGGGCTGTCATATACCCACACCTGTCCTGCTGGGGGCGCCGCCCCAGCGACCCAGCTCGTCTGTGAAGCTCGCAGCTCCACAGACCCCCACAGAGGGCCGAGACCCTGTTCAGGCTTCCTGTGACATGAGCCCGGTGGCTCACGCGGATTCGTCTCGTAAGCCTTGCGGTTTCGGCGTTTGCCGAAGCTACGCTGCTCGTCAGGCGTGGGCTGTGGTCCGGGCATCAGAGGAATTCACGATGAGCCTGCAAATTCCTGGTCTGGGGGAAAAAAAACCCTTTCCACAATTCCCAAAATCCTGCCCCTGTGTGTGTGAGACATAAGCATGTGTGGACTTCGCCTGTTGACTGAGAGTAGGGGTGTCCCGTTCTGCCCTGGGGGCGTCGGTGTGAGAGTGTCTGCTGAGTGTCCAGTCCTGTCCTGGGGGGGGTCAGTGTGTGTGCAGGGTGTCCAGTCCTGTCCAGGGGGGGTCAGTGTGT